TTTTAAAACATATTTTGACCATATTCACCCTCCTTTGCCCTTTATTGGCTCTTCCCTCTTCCCCTACTACCCACACTCCAGACAGAGCATGTTTCACATGCCTCAATTCTGCTTGGAAAGTATTATGCAAGCTGACAAACAACCACCTTGGAAACCCAGTGAGAATCTGACCACTTCAACAAGCTTCCTGGAATAGATAGCTGAACTAAAATACAAAATGTCAGCAGTATATTCCTTTGACATCTTAAATGTTTATAAACTCCAGGCCTAATCTCACTATGGCCAACAGTGTCTACAGTGTCTCTAAGAAAAGAAAGTAAACCTCTGCTTCCTTGATTTCCACCCTAACTCTTGGTGAATTCCCTCATATCCCAAACACCAGCTGAAGCCCCCAGACCTAAAGTTGAGAGATAACTAAGAACACTCAAGAAGCAAAAAGACTTGATTGATAATATAGACATTAAAAAGTTAATTTCTAATGCAACAATGTTGAAAAGTAGAATTTTTAAGAGGTAACAAAGTCATGAGGGTTTGACTTTCATAATGATTTAATGCTGTAATTGCAGAAGTGAGTTCACTATGTGGGAACAGTTTCCTGGTTTTTTAAATGAGTTCAGCCCCTTTCTCCCTTTCCTCTAGTTCCCTCATCCTGCTTACATACATACACATTCTCTTACCCTTTTTCCTTCTGCCATAATAGAGCATTAAAACAAAACAAAACAAAATTAACTCTCACTAGATGTGTACCCCTTGACCTTGGACTTCTAAGCCTTCAGAAGTATTTTTGACAAAGTACTCAATCCCAGGAATTTTGTAGTAGCAGCATAACACATTCTAATGACCCATTTTAAAATAGGCAAAGGCAGCCAGGCGCCGGTGGCCCACGCCTGTAATCCTAGCTATGCAAGAGGCTGAGATTTGAGAATCATGGTTCAACGCCAGCCTCGGCAGTAAAGTTTGTGAGGCTCTTATCTCCAATTAACCACTAGAAAACCGGAAGTGGCATTATGGTTCAAGTGGTAGAGCACTAGCCTTGAGCTGAAGCACTCAGGGAGGGACAGCACCCAGGCCCAGAGTTCAAGCCCCACAACTGACAAAAAAAAAAAAAAAGACAAAGGCTCCTAATAGATTTTCACTTCTAAGAATATATGAAAAGGTCATATCTGTTTGATAAACATATGAAAAGATGCTCAACATCATTAGCCATCAAGGAAATACAAATGAAAACTATATGAAATGATATGTCACACCCACTAGAATGTAAATAAAGAAGATGGGAAGTGACCCTGTGGCTCAAAGTGGTAGAATGCTAGTCTTGAGCAAAAAAAGAGCTCAGGAACAGTGCCCAGGCCCTAAGTTCAAGCCCCACTACCAACAAAAAAAGAGAGAGAGAAAGAAAGAAAAATTTAATGCCAGGCACCATTGTCTCACACCTGTAATCTTAGCTACTCAAGAGGCTGAGATCTGATTATTGCAGTTCAAAGCCAGTCCAGGCAAGAAAGTCTTTGAGACTTTTGTCTCTAATAAACCACCTGACAACTGGATGTGGTGCTGTAACTCAAAGTGGCCCAGAGCTTGAGCGAAAAAGCTCAGGGACAGAGCCCTGGCCTAAATTCGAGTCCATGACCAACAAAAAAGAAGAAAAAGGAGGAGGAAGCAGAGGAAGAGGAGGAAGAGGAGGAGGAGGAGGAAGAGGGTGCACTGTACTTATAAACTGACATGTTGAATGGTAACCCCTTTGTACAACTATTTAAAAATAATTTTAAAAATCAAAAATTAGAAAAAGAAGAAGGTGGACAATAACAAATTCTATTGAAGACCTAGAGAGACTGATGGGTATGGAAAATGGTGCAACTACTTTTCGAAGATATTTGATAGTTCCTCAAAATGGTTAAACATTGAATTGCCATATGATGCAGTTATTCTATTCATGAGATACTTCACAGGTCGTATTCTGTTATAATATAACACCCAAGACTGGCATTGTTAAAGGCGAGTTCTTCATTTTGGGCTGGTAAGTCAAAGATTGGGTTACTTCATCTAGTAGCCACCCTAGATATATAAGGATGCTACATCATAGAGGACAGAAGGAGAAGTGACTGCATGCAGAAGAACATGCAAGAAAGGCTGAATTCTTCTAATAGCACATTCTCTTGGTAATTTATTCCAATGCTCAAGAATTTACTTATTATCACAAGAAAAATATTAATCTCTCCTAACAATCTTCTGCAGGTCTTCCTCCCACCACCATTCCAAAATAAGTTTCAGAGGGGACAAGACATAACAAGTATATACCTATGAGTATTGAAAACATAGGTCCAAACAAGATTTGCATATGAAAGTTCATATTCGTAATAGCCAAGGAGCAGAAACAATCAATTGTCCATCAACTGAATGGGTAAATAAAATGTGGTATACCCATACATGATACAACATGGATAAATCTTTAAAATAGTATTCTAAGTAAAAGATCACATACTACACAATTCCATGCACATGAAATGTCTACAATAGACAAATCTATAGAGCTAGAACATAGACTAGTGATTTCCTGGGGTTAGGAGGAAGAAATGAATGGGGACTGACTGCTAATGAGTATGGACTTCCTTAAATAATGATTTAAAAAATGCTCTAAAATCGGGCCTGGGAATGTGGCTGAGTGGTAGAGTACTTGCCAAGCATGAATGAAGCCCTGGGTTCAATTCTTCAGTACCACATAAACAGAAAAAGCCCAAAGTGGTACTGTGGCTGAAGTGATAGAGTGCTAACCTTAAGCAAAAGAAGTTCAGGGACAGTGTTTAGGCCCTGAGTTCAAGTCCCAGACTGGAAAAAAAAGTTGTAAAATTGAATTGCATACATAAGTGAGTTCTATGACCCAGAACATCTCAGTAAAGCTGATAAAGATAATAATAATTAGCTAGAAGAAATGAAGAGAGATTGAGTTTTTAGAAAGTGTGGTACCATAAGCAAGGGAAGAACAGTGTGTACTATGACAAGCTGCTGGATGAAGTAAGAATTTTTTTTAACCTGCTTCATTTTCCCCACACATCTCATATCCTACAAAATAGTCCTTCAGATAGTCCTTCAAATATCCAAAGAACTGAAAAAAAGATTCAGATCTAAACTATGATGCTCCAAAGGATGAAACCAGCTCAAAAAGGGCATAAAATGGGTGAGTTTGCTTCACATCTGTAATCTTAGGTACTCAGGTGCTGAGATATGAAGATTGTAGTTCAAAGCCAGCTCAAGCAGACAAATCTGAGATATTATTATCTCCCACTAACCAGGGGAAAAAAAAGCAGAAATGAAGGTGTGGCTAAAGTGGTAGAATTCTAGCCTTGAAAAAAAAAAAAAGCTGATCTGGAGAGAGAGGCCCTAAGTTCAAATACCAGTACTAGCACACAACACAAAAGGATATATTTGAGCTCATTTTAAGGAAGATTTAATAAGGTCCCTCAAAATTCCAATTGGGAAACAAGGTAGTTCCCCCAGCACCAGAAGCATTTCTGCAAAGTGCGAGCTGGAGAATACCCTAGTATTAGGTAGGAAACAGGACAAGATGACTTCTAAAATTACACTAATCCAGTCACTCAGATTCATCAAAGACCAACCTCACTTTTCTTAAACTATGAAGGATCTCCTTTCTTATTCATTCTCAAAAAGGTTCTTGCCAAACTACTAGAGTAATCATTAAGCACAAATTCATAGTCCTCAACAGAGGCTTTTTTTCACTAAAATACTCACCAGTTTTCCTGATAATTTCCTTCTTCAAAAAAAATTTATACTACTAATGTAAAATCAAAATACAAAAGTCCATTAACTCTGTTATGGCTCTTCCAAACTGCCTATCTGAAGCCAAAGGGAAGTTCTGTTGTGATAGTTTTATGCTCAGTACCCCACTGTTAAGCAAACTCAGTAACCAAAGACCCTGCTCTATCAATCTCCCAAGGATATAAGGTAAAGTGCCAAGAACATTTCCCAGAGCTTTGTGAAATTGCAGAATATCTAAATAAGGGGAAAACGTCAAATAGAAAAAATAGAGTGAAATAAGAAGAATAAAATCCTGGCGACTGAGAAAATTGAGCCTATCTTCTACTATCCCAGCTGAGGAGGCCAAATAAAAATATATACATTTAAAACAGAGCTACCTGTCCGAAGTGGTGGTATATATTTGTAATCCCAGGTAATCAGGAGGTAGAAGTAGGAAAATCTGGGTTTGAGGACTTTGGGACTTTGGCTTAAGTGATAGAAAGTCCAGACACTGAGTTCAATCCAATGGGAGGTGAAGGAAAGGCCAGAGAGAAGGCCACCACCCTGTATGATAGTCCTCAAGAAGCTAAAATGTGGATTATGTTGTGGTGCAACAGTATTGCTTCTTGGTGTATGCCCAACGATAAGATAATTATGCACCAATACTCATAATAACTTTAGTCACAATAGCCACCGGTGGAAGCAACTCACAAATCCGTCTGTGGATGAGTGGACAAACAAAAGGTATGTGCTATAATGAACTATTATAGTATACACCATACACTAGATATATACTTACAATAATATATAATAGGATTAATACATATTGACAGCATATACATAGAGTATATATTTTTAATAGACTATAAAAATGAAAGAAATTCGTCCGTCCCTTAAGGACTCTAAGGCACCAAACTCTTTAGATTTAGGGTTTCTTTGTCCACTGTGCCAGTGAATCTGAACGAATACCTAAGCCTGGGATGGCTTCGGTCTGTGCCCCAGCGCCAGCTGGGTGGGTGGGGCTTCCACAGCCTCCTCCACGAGCCCTGACCGCTGACAGCGTCTGTGGTGACAGCGTCTGCAAAGGCCGGGCTCTACGGCGGGCCGACAGACGCTACACCCTCGGCCAATCAAAGCGCCCCAGAGCAGCCCGCACCTTGGGTCTTTTTCCTGTTGTCCCGCCCTCATATGCTTCTAATTGGTGAGTTTCAAACCCGCGAAAGCCAATGGGAGTGTAGACGCGCGGTTCCGCAGCCGCGGCTCCTAGGCGCGGCCTTTGAAAGGAAAACTGTCCTAGTTGGGAATCATGGTGGGGCCTGGGCCCTCCGCAGCCGCTGGTGAGTACCAACGCGCGCCCCGCTCTGGCAGGCGTTGGAGCAAGGGCGGGGAAATAGGGAGTCCTTCCACCTGACGGTTCCCGTTTGCGTTCACGTCTGCCTCAGTCTCCCCAGACCGGGCCCCGTAGTAGAGGCCTGGACCCGGGATGGAGTCCCCACTTCAGGCCTTGCAACAGCCCTGTCCAGGGTTGAAACACGGTCGAGATAAAGAAACTAGGGTTCCGCCCCGGGTCACACCACAGGTCACACGGTGGGAAGGTGTGGTCCGGGCACTGAGCTGCTGCCGACTTTGCAGGTAGCCAGAAGGGGGTGCTCGGCCCCTCCACCCCTGCTGCCTCTGGGAGCTTGATTGGATCGTGGGCGCGGGATCCTAGGCTCCTGGGTTCCTTGAACTCTGATCAGTCTGGAGCCTTTCCTGCCCTTCTCTATGCTCCGGCGCGGTTGCCACCAAGCGGTCAAACAGAACCGATCTTTTTTCCTCACATTTTTTATTAGGGCTTTTAGATTGTGTCGGAGGCTTCATTGCGGTATTTCCATTCATGCACATACTATACTTTGACCCTTCTATTTCTTAACTCTCCCACAACCCAGCTCCTTTTAAAAAATCTTTCTTACAATTTTGAGTGAGTGAGTTTATTCTGATCGTTTCATGCAGAACTGCAATTCTCTCCCATTTTCTCTCCCACTTCCTTCCAGTTCCCCTATCCAAATAGCTCCCCATGTATGTTCATGTTCATGCAATAGTTGTCTTCCTAAGTCTGCTTAATTTTGCTTACATGGTGATCTCCAGATCCATCTGTTTTCTTGCAAATGACTTTTTTTTCCTTTATGGCTGAGTAGTGTATGTATGCCACATTTCCCTTATCCATTACATCTGTTAATAGACACCTGAACTGGTTCCATAGGTTGGCTGTTGTGGTATTTCTATTGTGTACTGACTTACATTTCCTCTAGATATATGCCCAAGAGTAGTATAGCATGGTCATAAGGAGGTAGTTGTTAGTTTTCTAAAGAACCCCCATGCTTATTTGTATACTGGCAGCACAAATTTACATTCCCACAACAGTGTTCAAGATTCCTTTGCATTCAGTGTTGATTGTTCAACCATGCCTGTCCTAGGCCCTGTCCTTGGTGCTTTGTGTAACAACTCTTCAAGAGGTGTTTCTCTAACCCTGTATGTGAGACTCTACATGTTGAACATGAACTTAAGTACATTTCTCATAGCTATTTGATAAAGATGCATTAGAGTCAAAAAGGAACCATGGAGAGTTAAGAATAGTTTTGCACCTCTGCAGCCTTTTTTTTTTTTAAAAAAAAAATGATTATGAGGGCTGAGAAGTTGGCTCAGTGGTAGAGTACTTGCCTCTCATGCATGAGGCCCTGGGTTCGATTCCTCAGCACCACATAAGCAGAAAAAAGCCAGAAATGGTGCTGTGGCTCAAGTATTAGGGCTCTAGGCTTTAGCTGAAGAGCTGAGGGACAGCTTCCAGGCTCAGAGTTCAGCCCCCACAACCGACAAAAAAAAAAAAAATGTATTTTTAATCTTTTCAAAACAATTTGCTCCTCTCACCATGCACTGATGAACTCACACAATTTTTTTCTTTGACCTTTTCTTAGGGCATCTAGATTTTGCCATATATTATAATCAGTGTTGTGTTTATCTCCACTGCTATATTGAAAGTATTCTGGAAATCAGAGAAACAGTTCAAGTATCCCTTATCTGAATTGCTAGTGATCAGAAGGATTTCAGATTGTGAAATACTTGTATGTATAATAAAATATCCTGAGGATGTGAATATAAAATTCAGTTGCATTTCTTTTTGACAGTACCTGATTTTGAAGTCAAGGCAAGTACTCTACCACTTGAGTCACATCCCATCTCCTTTTGCTTTAGTTTATTTTTAGATAGGGTCTTATGCTTTTGTCTGGACCAGCCTCAGACTATAATCCTCCTACCTCTGCCTCTTGAGTGGCTGTGACTATAGTCATATACTATTACACCTGGCTTGGGTTTTTTTTTGGGGGGGGGTCCGGTCGTGGGGCCTGAACTCTGGTCCTGGGCGCTGTCCCTCAGCTCTTCAGCTCAAAGCTAGAGCTCTACCACTTGAGCCACAGTGCCACTTCTGGCTTTTTTCTTTTTGCTTATGTGGTACTAAGGAATTGAACCCAGGGCCTCATGCATGCAAGGCAAGTGCTCTATCACTGAGCCACCTTCCCAGCCCCCAACCTGGCTTGTTTTTGAGATAGGATCTTACTACATTTTTCCCTAGGCTGCCCTCAAACTGGTATTTTTCTGCCTCTACTTCATGAGTATCTGAGATTACAAGGTGGGCCACCATGCCTGGCTACATTTATACTTTATATATTTTTCATACATAACTTGAAGGTAATTTAATACAATATTTGTAGTGCATATGTGTTTTAATTGATCAGATACATGAAGTCAAGCATGGAATTTGTGTCATGTTGGCCCTTTTAAATTTCAGATGTTGAAATAGTATATTCAGCCTATATTAACTTTTTATTTTCCTATAAATGCCTGTCATAAAAAGTTACTGTGTAGATGTTTACCACTAACTCCCCCTACCCTGCCAACCTGGCTCTTTTTTCTTTAGTTCCAAAAGGAACTGAGTAAGGGTTTGTGTGTAAAAATCACCATCCATCTCAAGAAGGAAACACAAGAATATACACACACACACACACACAAGACCAGCCTTGGCTCAACAGTTTAGGTAGGCCAGTTAGAATTTCTTCATGTAAGCTAGGTGCCGGTGGCTCATGCCTATAATCCTAGCAACTCAGGAGGCTTAGATCTGAAAATCTCAGTTCAAAGCCAGCCGGGACAGGAAAGTCCGTGAGACTCTTATCTCCAATTTACCACCAGAAAACTGTAAATGTTGCTGTGGCTCAAGTGATAGAGCACTCGTCTTGAGCTGAAGAGCGCAGGGACAGCGCCCAGGCCCAGAGTTCAAGCCCCACGACCGACAAAAAAAAAAAAGAAAAGAAAAAAAGAATTTCTTCATGTAAAGTATGATGTGTTATAGCTGAGAACAATGTCCTAATTAAGGACTCTGGGATACAATAACTATGATCTCAGATTTGCTTTTGCTTTATACTAGCTAGATAACTTGAAGCATGTCATTTACCCTCTTTGAATTTCATAATGCACAATACCCAGTGGGATGATTGTATGGATTAAAAGAAGTAGTATAAGTAGCTTATTACAAATAGTAATACAAGGAGCTTATTATAAGACTTGGATTTTGTTAATGTTGATACTAACTTGAAGCCAGACTTAAAGACTGGATACTTTTTCACATTATGTTATAAATTAAAATCATTATAGAAAAGTGCCATGTTTTAGGATATATATGAACTTGATAAAATCTCAAGCTAAATTCTGTTTTTATTTGGTTCTGTGTTTTACAGAAGAGCGTCAGAAAAAGCTCCAGGAGTATTTAGCAGCCAAGGGAAAACTGAAGAATCTAAATACCAAGTGAGTTTCTCTACATATTTATGCCAGTTTTGTTGTCCTTGTTAATACTAACTTAAAGTCTTTTTTACAGGTAGCCCTTTTCTGTTTATAGCCTATTCAGCCTACATTGTAGATCTGAAGATTACATAAAAAGAGTACTTTAGTCCAAATATGACTAGCACTAGTTAAACCTAGTCTATTGGCAGAGATGGAAGCATTATTATTGTGTTCCAAAAAAGGAGGACCTACAGTATTAGGGATCATGCTGGAGATATTCTTGTCCCTTCTTTTTCTGGCGAAGTTGATTCTTATGAAGACAATTTTTGGTCAGTCAGTTGAATGACCCTGGTTTGGGTGTATCTTCTGAAAGCCAGTTCTCAATACTAGCATACTGAGATCTCCTAACATGTACTTTTGAGTTAGATAGAACATAACCATTTCACTCTTGTCTTCTGTCTTTTGAGTTAGATAGAACATAACCATTTCACTCTTGTCTTCTGTCAGTATATTATCTTCCTGTTGTATTACTCCATTTTTTCTTGAAAAGTTAACTGTCACCTTTAATTTTGCCTTGGGTTTTTAATCAACTCTATTTCCTTGGTTAATTGAGCTGAAACCATTTTTCTCTTGAAGCAAGGGCTTATTAAGTGTACAGCTTATGTGGTAGAACCCTTGTCTGGCAAACTAGATGCTGTGTTCAAAATCCTAGGACATAAGCCCTCAGAGGGGAAGGATCTCTGTGTCTTACTAAGTATTATAGCATTAAGAGTGATTCATAGAGTCAGCACTGGTGGCTCATACTCAGGAGGTTTAAAGCCAGCCTAGGCAGGAAAGTCCATGAGACTCTTTATCTCCAATTTACCACCAGAAAACTGTGGTGCTGTGGCTCAAGTGGTAGACCACTAGCCTTGAGCTGAAGAGTGCAGGGACAGCCAGAGTTCAAGCCCCACGACCAACAACAACAACACAAAAAGAGCTCAAGAACAACACCCAAGCCCTGAGTAGTTCAAGCCCCCAACCAACACACAAAAAAAAGAGTGATTGGTAGACTGAGAATGGTGGTCCATACCTGTAATCCCAGCTATCAAGAAACTGACTACCCTGAGCTAAATAGTGAATTCTCCACTAGCCCGAGCTACACAGCAAGACCCTGTCTTTCTTTGTAATTTTTCCCAATAGATACTTAATCTTTCTAAATGCTGCTGGTTTCCTTTTATTTTATTTTTTGCAGTTTAACCTCACTAGGTAGATTTTATGTTACATCCCTGTTTTTATTCTTGTTTTTTATTTGAATCATGCCTCAGTATAGATAGTATTGTTTTGAGACTACCCCCAGATACCAAAATCCACAGGTACTCAAGACCTTTGTGTAAAATAAAATAGAATAGTATTTGCATATAAACTATGTGCAATTATCTGTCAATTACTTATGATACCTAATACAGTACAGTAGTATACTGTTGTTTTTTAGCAGTAATTACAAAAAGTTTGCACATGTTCAATGCAGATGCAATATCATTTTTCAATTTTTTTATCAAAAGTTAGTTTTAACAGTTGTATAGTCCATAGATATAAACAGTCAGCTATATATCATTTTTGCCCCTGAAAATCCAATATTTGGAAATACTTTAACAATGAACCTTTTTTTTTTTTTTTTTTTGTCAGTCGTGGGGCTTGAACTCTGGGCTTAGGCGCTGTCCCTGCGCTCTTCAGCTCAAGGTGAGTGCTCTACCATTTGAGCCACAGCACCACTTCCAGTTCTCTAGTGGTTTATTGGAGATAGGAGTCTCATGGACTTTCCTATCTGGGCTGGCTTTGAACCATGATCCTCAGATCTCAGCCTCCTGAGAAGCTAGGATTACAGGCATGAGCCACCGACACCCAGCTAACAATGAACTTTTTTTTTAAAAAAAAACAGATAATTGTCTCACTCCAGTGTCTGATATTTGAATAAGACTACACATATAATGTAGAAACCAAATGTATTTTATCAGTATTATTAGAATGCTGCATTTATGCATATAATATTTCTGAAAGGATCACCAAAAAGTTGTTAAGAGCTGTTGTGACTTCTTGAAGGAATACAAGACCAGGAAGGTATAATAATGAAACTTTTTAATTATTGATCATTTTTAATTGTTTTACCATATACAGAAACTCTAATGACTTGAAAATTTTGATCATAATTGTTAATCTCTATACTTCCTAAGATTTGCTGATCCTTCTGTACTAAGGATTAGTTTTATTTTCCTTTTTACAGGCCTTATCTAAAAGCCAAGAATAATGCCTCAATCCCACCACCTTCTAAATCTGTAAGTAGAAATTAGTCTCTTAAGAAATATCCAGTTTATCAAAAAATTAAATCCCCCAAAAACAAATCATCAAAGAAACAACTGCCCAATAAATAAGTGGACTAAAGACTTAAAGAGAAACTTCTCTGAAGAAGAAAGAAGGAGAGCCAGTAGACACATGAAGAAATGCTCAACCTCTCTAGCCATAAAAGAATGCAGATCAAAACAACATTGAGATTCCACCTCACCCCAGTTAAAATGGCTATAATCAAGAACTCTAATAACAACAGATGCTGGAGGGGATGTGGACAGAAGGGAACCTTACTACATTGTTGGTGGGAGT